ATATCTACTTAAAAACAGCTAGATTTGAATGCATTAAAATTTTAATTTATTTCACTTGGAAGGGGCAACAAGGTAGTGCAGTGTTAAATAACCTCTTCTTCAACAATTTATTTGTGTATATTATATTACACAAACACATTGTACACTTTGGGCATCCTATTCTTTTTCTTTCCTTTTTTTAAAATAAACTAATTTGCTATAGTGCAGTCATTCCCTGCTTGCATTCATCCAAATATTTAACTAGTTATTACCTTTCTAAGAAAATGAGATGTGCATTTGCATTATGTTCTTGCAAAGGCACACTGCAGTGCCAAAGTGATTGACAAGCAATACAATTACCTTTGCATGGCTAGACAGACCGTCTTTGCAATAACATCAGCTGCACCGGTTCAATGCATGAGGGCTACTCCCTTCTCTTGTGACTGGGCCGTGGTTCATTTATCTATAGATGCAGACTAGACATTGACCCCTTCTCCCTGCCCTGCAAATCCATTGCATCTGTGTCACGGGGCTTTCAAAACAAGTGTTTGGCTGTATTCATGGAAACCAGCATGAGACTTTGTCAGAGCTTTCTATAACCAGCTTCCATTTAGGATAGGACCTAGGAAGCTGATTTTCAGTGTTGCCTCAAACGTAAACACATGGAGGGAGGGGGGTGTTTCATGGAGCAATGAGTCTATTAGTCTTTGGACCAGGAACAGCATCACCTGTTACTTGTTAAAAATGCAAATTCTTCGACACATCCCCCCCTTCATATCTATGGATTCAGGGCCTCTGGGCTGGGTGGGGGCCCAGCCATCTGTTTGAACAGGCCCTGCAGGTGGTTCGGATGCGCGCTGAAGTTTGACCGCTGCTGCGTGCCAGAGCCGTTAAAAGTTGGGGCTGTGAAGCCAAGACCACCTGGCTGGAATCCCAGCTTAGTCACTACCTAGCTCTCTCCTCTTCAGTTTCTTTAGACCCAAAGCGGTGACCACAATATTGTCCATCTCGAAGGGGTGCTATGAAATTAAGTGGGATAATGAGCACAACACCATTAGCTTACAGGCTGACATAGAGCCATCGCTCAATCAATGTAAAGACTAATAGTACTTGTACTGGTGCTATTACTTATAGCTTAGAGAGGGGCGAGGGGGGAGGAACACACATAGCATTTTGGTGAAACTGACGCCCCCAAAGTGGCTTCATTTCACACTGCCAATGAGGACAACCATATCGGTTCCTCATTTTTTAGAGCTTTCATGAGGGTAGATCACCCAGCCTCTCATTCATTTCTCTCCCAAACGTGCAGGTGTTGCACTCGGTGAAAACAAACAATCCCTACACCGTGTGGTTTATCACAGCAGCTAGAATTCTTGATTTCCTTCCTCAGTGAAGCCACCACTTCCTGCGGGGCCTCCCAAAGCTGAAAGATGCCCTTCCCGCGGGCCCTCTGAGGAGCCCCGTACCCTCCAGACACTGGGCTGTTCCCTATGTCTGGCCTGCTCTTCCTGCTCTCTACCTGGCTAAGCCTTTGAGATTTCTGTGGCATTTCCTCCGGTTCCCTGCCCTCTGTTGCTAGCCCCCTCCTTCCACTTCACTTTCAGGGTGCCATTGTCCCTCTCCTCCGCAGCACCCATCACAGCTGCCATTGGCCGTTCATGCACGTGGCTTTGTGACTGAGTGCCCACTCCCTGGGAGCTCCCCGAGGGTGGGTGTAGCGAGTGGATTCACTCTCCCTGCCCTCTGTGCCTTGGCACAGTGGTAAGAATATAGGAAGCAACAGCAGGGCCCTAGTTTGTTCGAGCTTAGAATGAGGATGTTAGGCCACATTTTCTCTTTAGTTCTCCGTCTCATAAGCGTGGGATGCCAGAGTCCCCAAGTCATTTTCCATGGCCACGCTGGAAGGGGACTAGGTTACCGTCCTGAACAAGCATCAGGGCCCGCCTTGCCTCACTCTGGGAGCTGTTGGCCCAAATAGGCTTGGCAGGAAGCACACAGCCTGCCCCAGCGCACAAGGACCTGTCCTGGTGAAGGAAGGGACACCTTTCCCAGCCAGAGCTCGGCCCCACTCACACCCGGTCCACACTGTGTGTCCACTGGGACAGACCTCAAGGTCCAGCCTCGCTCCCTCACAGGCAGGCCTCGCTTTGTCGTCTCCCTTTATTGCATTTCACACATGTTGCATTTTTTTACAAGTTGAAGTGAAGACGCTTCCCAACAAAGCAATTACGCCTCTTTAAGTGACACTCGCTTTGTTGCAGTGTCTGGAACCAAGCCGCAGTCCCTCCGAGGGGTGCCTGTGTCTTCAGAAGAGCAGACACAGACTGGGTCCTCTACAGATAGTTAGAACAAAGCATCATTCCCCATGTTTGTACATGAATGCAGTAATATTCACAGCTGGATCACGTTCTGTCCAGCCTCTTTCTCTGGTCTCCTATGCCAGGGTCCAGTTTTTTAATCCTATTCACCTTCTCCTCCTCCACTGGCAACAGTCATTGGTGCTGCATAACCAGATCAGAAACAAACTTAAAGCTGTAGGATGTCTCTTCCTAATTCACTAAGTCAACCTGGAGTTGCTAAGTCAATTAATTACTCTGTGCCATCTTCTGTCACCTCCCCTTTAAGATATGGCAGTATTCAGTCAGTAGTCATTTATTTTACAGCTCTTGGGTAGAAAGCAACATGTTCAGCCATAAGCAGGATAGAATGTGGAGTAAGCTAATTGGGTGCAACTTCAATGTGGAATGAGGCCCATACACAAGTACATTTAATATTTGACCAATATATAAAATTATTTTACCGAGTGAGGAGCAAAAATTGTGAGGTTGGCATTTAGAGGAGGGAGAAATAGCTCCGCTTTGGGTGAGCATTGGATACAGGTCATAGCAACGGTGATGTTCAGTTAGAGCTGCGATGTCAAGCATGTGACCCATTTCTTTGTAGCCAGATCTCACTGGCTCCTCCCTTGAGGTGCCTCTTTCCCCATTTTACAGATGAGTAACTGAAGCTCAGGTAGCTTGAGTAACTAGTCCAATGGGCGAGGCTGAAATTTGACCCAGATGCCATTGTGGTCCCCGTCTAACTTGGCTCTTGAATGGTGTATCTGCTTTTGGTGAAGATGTTGGCAGAAAAGCCATTCCCCGCGCAAGGAACAGCATGTGCAAAGGCATGATGGCATGAAAGAATGGGACAGAAGCTGTTTTGCTACGGCTAAATGATCCGCTCTGTGGTTCTGGGCCCAAACTAAATATTGGTTGCTCTCCCCTGTTGCATCAGATCTGTTCTGCGTCCTGTTGGCAGAGGCTGGCCCTGCCTTCTGACCCTCAACAGACACTATCTTCTTCTGTTGGAAATGCTGAAAGAGAATTCAAAGCCTAGCTCGGGATGCGCACACTTCAGCATCTGGGATTAGGGTTTTGTGCTGCTTGACAAGTGCTCTCGTGAACTGTAGCCCTTTTGATCAAAATGAAAACAGCTTAAAGCGATTCTCACCAACCTCCTTAGCGTGTGAAATCCCTGCCTCCTTTTTAAGGATAATGGTACTTGGGGTTTTGCCGGTCAACTCTGAAAAGCTCTGAGAAGCACCCTACAGTGTTCTCCAGCAAACCAGTGTCACTGCTGTGTGTGCGTGTGGGTGTGTGTTGTGAAGTGCTCTCCTTTGGCTCAATTTGCTTGGCTTACATGCAGTTCCACCCTGCCACCGAACCTGCTGGAAACCTTTGGTAATCCAAGTTGTGCTTCTGTTCAAACCACAGCTCCATTCAATGATGGGGCTCATTGGTCCTTTGCCAGACTCATAAATCATGTGTAAACTCCATGGGGAGATATTAGGGAAGGTTATTAATTACACTACCATCCTTTGGAAAACATGCATGTAGAAACACGTGTTTTTATATTCAAGGTCATCCCATGACCCTCACGAAGCCTGTGAAATGTGCAAGCTGCCTTAGAACCTCATTAAACCCATTTTAATACTTAGGAATTTTAAGTCAGTTTCCCATGATGGTGTAGCTGTGAGCTTCTTTTCCTGGCTGTTTCACTCAAGGTATACCAAGAAATTCCTGGAGAATTCCAGGATCTCTTGTTCTCCCCTTCCTGTGAGGTCCCTTGTCTCTGGGATGACTATATGCACAGTGATCAGAGAGATGCTCAAGGCCAGGCTGTTCAGTCATAATGTGGGGCTTTGCTTAGTCTGGGTATAATTTACACAAACATACCCACCCAGAAACATGCATGTGCATGTACATGTACGAGTACACATAAGCAGATTGCCAGCACACTACTACACACATTAAAAAAGTGATATACATTCATGTACATATGCCTACGTGGGCAAGGTATACACATGAACACATGTGTGCACATGTATGAATTGGCATATACACACTAACACACATATATGCATTCACATACACACCCAAAATACATATTTTGCACTCACATATACACATTTAGACCCATAAATGCACACAAACACACACATTTTTTCACACACATACAGGGAATTATCAGATATAATACCACCGTGTGAAAGAATACAGAAGAACATTTCTGGAATCATCTGTATTGTCCAGCTCCCCTAAGGTCATCCAGCTATAACCGCATTGAGAATGTGACAATATGGGCGCCCCACCCTTATCAATCATGCATTTTAAGGGGATGATTTCCCCCCCGGGGCAGGGGGTCTATACAGTTTGACTGTGAACTCCGACTCTTGTATCTGTCTAGGCCACTTGAAATAAACCTCAACCCTGCCTGCACTTCTACACCCCCCCTGAGAGGGAGGGAAGTCTGGTCCTCTCACCACCAGGTCCTGACTGTGGGCCACCCTGAACCAGCCTAATTTTCTCAGCCTGCCCGCCTCCTGTTGTCTCCAACCTCCTTAACCAAAGTGGAAGCTCTCTTCAGTTCCTGTGTTTTGGATCTCGTGACCAGACTAACTTCGCCAGTGCGGGGGTGGTGTGTCTGCATGGGGAAACGCACTAATATGGATGTTTCTCTTTGTGTGTGCACCCTTGCAGTGTTGTTTACCAGGATGGATTTTATGGTGCAGACATTTATGTAAGTATTCATTAATGTGCATGCCATCCTTGTTTCCGCCCGGAGTCATTCTTTTTACAAGTTTGCTGAGAATCTCTCTACTGTGCGGTGCTGTCCATTCCCGCTTCGTGGGCCCTGGGAGAGTCTCAGGCCCGCATGCAGCAGGACTGCTGCTCCTGAGAGCATCCCACGCTGTGAGTGAGTGGATTCAATGCCTTGACCAACCTCAGAATAAATGCAAACACAGCCCCACCTCCAAAGATAGCATCTCATGTCAAATTAAGACCCGCTCCCCATCTCCCCCCCAAAAAAAACCCCAAAAACAAACACACACACACACAAAAAAACAGAAATTCTCTCTAAAGTTTTCAGTATGGTCTGTGTATTTTCAGTTTACTATTTAGGACAACAGCTGTACATACCAAGGGTTAAAAGACATTTTCATGGCTGATGTTTTCTTATAAATATATTTGTTTATCACAAAGCCCTAGAAAAAATATTTTCTCTCTCCCTTTCTCTCTCTCTCTCTCTCTCTCTCTCTCTCTCTCTCTCTCTCTCTCTCTTCCTCTATATTTTTCTACCTCCACCCCATTCATGGATGATTTTAGCAAGACATATCTAACAAAAGTGGGCCAACTGGAGCATTAAATTTTCTTCAACCCCTTATTTCTTCATGTCCCCAGAACAGCTCCCTAACTTAGAATTGTTTGTTAAATGTAGAATTGTTGGTTAAATGGTACCACTTTGTTAAGCTGGTTTTAGAAAAGTGTTTCTCATTATGGGGACCATAATTAAACTTACCTAAGTTGATCTAAAATTAGTTATTCTCCTTCATTGTGATATTAGCAGCAATGTTATGAAAATGACTTGGAATAAACACAATTTAAAATAAATTGGCAGGAATGGAGGGTATTTTCTAAGTTATATACTTTTTTATTACAAGTGACCTCAAGTAATTTCGCTGCAATCATACTTGTTTTATAGACCAGATAACAAAGAAAAATAAAACCACATTTCTGATCAAATTGATGTCATTTACTATAAAATGGGAAAGACACTGGTTATTTAATTTCTTCCCTTTGAATTTCAAATAATTACAATTTTGAGACATAGTATTAGTCTCCATCAGTGATGAACTTAGTGGAGTTCTATTATAATTGCATCAAGTACATTTATTATAATCTGCGAGTTAGCTCTTTTCCATAATAATACTTATTAATGATTTACATGTTCTTTATGCACCCAGTGAACAACCAACTTTCTTTTTTGTGTTGCTTGATTTACTCCTTCGCACGTCTTTTTCCCCAGACTTGCTGTTTATGCCATTTTAAATAGAAAGGCAGGCGGAGGCTGAGCAGGCTGGACCTCATCCATACCCTTAGATACCCAGTGAACCCATCAGTCTACACACTCCCCATTGTATCCTCTGGGTAGCATAAGCACATGCAGGAACGATAGTTGGCATAATTAACTTTAGGGCTTTATTTATTTATTTACTTACTTTAAATTTTGATTTGAGAGAGAAAGGAAGGGAGAAGGAGAGAGACAGAGAAGCATTGATGAGAGAGAGAAACATTGATTGAGCCACCTCCTGATCGCTACCCACTGGGGACTGAGCCCTCAACCCCACATGTGCCCAGATTTGGAATTGAACTGGCAACCTCTTGGTGCACGGGTCCACACTCAACCAACTGGGCCATACTGGCCAAAGCAGGGCTTTTTTTTAATTTGTGAAATGAAAGGGAGTAGAGAAAGGATGAAGAAATTTTAAAAAGAAAAAGAAAAAATCCACCAAAAAGAGAACTATCTTCATCAACACCTACCCCAGGGGAGAACAATGTGGATGTATGTAAGCTTATTATTATAATATTAGTTACCATTTATTAGTTCACCTTTCTGTAAAATGACAATAATTTGTTGCATTAACCCTAATAAATAATTGAATTATTAATTGAAACTGTTCTGTGGAGATTTCAAATTAGCATCTTTCTCTTGCTTCGTAGATTTTTGTATAGTAGGAAGTAGAAGCTGCCTGAAGGTACAGCTGTTAGAGTCCACAAACAAAGAAATACAATGACTAGTGAGAGTAACTGATGTGTGTAGATCTGTATTGGTTGGGATAAAGGAAAATCCCTAAGAACGAGGCAAATGGAAAGAGCAGAGAAAGTTGGAAGAGGGAAAATACACTAACATCCACTCTAAGGTAGAAAGAGAAATTCCTTTGAGGAAGGAAAGCTCCAGAAAAATCCCTTTGAGTTTTTTGGTTCCTTTAAGAGCTTTTGTTTCCCACAAATTCATCATATTTGGGCAAAGAACACCAGGCTCAGTGGTACAGCCCCTGCAGGTATCTGAGTGAGGTATAGATGAAAGGAGTTATTTCAGTAACTTCAAGTCCTGACTTTTCTGGTTTCTAGGTTTAGAAAACTATTCTGCCCTAGCTGGTTTTGCTCAGTGGATAGAGCGTTGGCCTGCGGACTAAAGGGTTCCATTACAGTCAAGGGCACATGCCGGGGTTGTGGGCACGATTCCCAGTAGGGGGCATGCAGGAGGCAGCCGGTCAATGATTCTCGTTCATCATTGATGTTTTCCTCTCTCTCTCTCCCCCTTCCTTTCTGAAAGCAATTTTAAAAAATTAAGATTTAAGTTGTTAGAAAACTATTCCTCTCACTCTTTTCAAGCCACCCTAGTAGCCAAAAAAATTTATAGATTTTCCCACTTTTCCTATTATAGTGCCAGTAAGATTTTTCAGGGAGAGGGAGCATTCCAATTAGACAATTAGCTGATGGAAAATCTAGCTTAAATATTTGTTTACCCAGCACATTTCTCTGTCCTTTTTTCCAGAAGGTAGCTCAGACCTTGCAGGTCTTCCTGGAGTTTTGTGTTCTGCATATTCCAATTCTGGAATATCGCTGCTGGGTGGTATGTGCACATGAGCGACAGTGGTGAACTGGTCCCTACCCCATTATGGCAGCAAAGCAAGTGTTCATGGTTGGCCTTAGTTGATTTAAGGGCGAGAAAAAATTGGAGTATTTCCTGCACTCTAGAATTTATGAAGCAGGATTCATCCTGGCTAGAAGTAATTTTGAATATGCTTTTTCAAGCTGCTATCCCACCCCCCTTGAGATACTGGTATGTTCTGATGAGTGGACGTGTCCCCAGAGCTCCATTTCTTAAAGAAATGATGATTAAAGAGGTTAGTAAGGCACGTGAGGTTCTGTTCTATTTAAAGGAAGTTTCTGGCTTGCTCCTTCCATCTCGTTAGAAATAGTGCACAATAAATAGATTTAAGGTAATCCTGAGAGGACCTGGGACATGTGCTGGACACTTTACTCACTTCTAATAGATTTAAACCAGTTATTTCTTTGTAATTTAATTGGGAGAGGAACAAGCTTCTAGCTTTGGTTACTTTTAAGAGCTAAAGGGAATCTGCTCTCCAGTTCTTCCTGCTCAGACATTCTCAGCGTTGGCAGCATATCAGCAACTCAACAGCAAGGATGGCAGCTCCTACACCAGAATGACTGCCCTTTTCTGTGCATCCCACTGTCTCCTGCCCCTTCTCCTCTTTGTTGTTCAAGGTCTTTCCATCCCTCCCACCATATACGGGAGCCCTTGGGCGTTTCTGATTTGAGAGACCTGCAGGACCCCTGCACCTGGCAAGCAACAACCTCCTACCTAGAATCAGCTCCTTCTTCACCTTTCAGAGCAGAGAGGATTGGGGAGAGAGGGAGAGATGTTCAGAGATGCCAGAGATGCTGGGAGCTAAGGCAAACACCAGGGATGTGTGTGTAGTCTGAGGGCAAAGAAAAAAGCATCCTATGCAGGAGCCCAGCCAAGCAGGAGAAACACTGCCTCTCACCACACAGGACATGTTCAGGCCCAGTGTGGATGCCACTCCTCAGAGAGGAAGTAGGGGTTTCTGAGTCAGAAAGGAGGCTAGAAAAGGTCACATCTGGGTCAGTTCCACCTGGGAACATACCCCTCCCCCCCCACACACACATGCATACACACACACACACACACACACACACTTTTATGTCAAAAATGGGAATTTAGTTTACATAGCTAGCATATCAAATCTAATAGTTCAGTGTTATTACTTAGTGGTGGACATTTAAATCAATGCTTCTAAATTAAAAAGTGGGTCAAGTTAAAGGAAAAAATCAGTAACAGCAGAGGTGACACATGGGTATGACAGTGGTTAGAAAGGTGAAGTGGGAAGACCAAGTTGCCTGGACCTGAGACATAATCCGTCACACTTAAGGGTGGAGCTATAGCCTTCATGAAGCCAGAATTGGTCAGGGAGTGGGAAATAAGTGTTGCTTAAGTGATCTTAGCCAAGACGCTTACCTTAATCCATGCAGGGAGATATCAAAGGAGGGGGCATTTGATCAAAGGGTAACTATGGAAAATGGAAAGAAGGAAATGACAACAGAGCTATCAAAAGGAATTGACTGGGAACTGGAGTAAGACAGTGGAGCTGCAGTGGAAGAAGAGAAGTGAAGACTGGGAGGGAGAGTGAGAGAGGGAACTGGCAGACAATGCAAATGTTAACCGCATGCCCTTGTATTGGGAGAGCCCCAAGCTTCCTAACAGGCACTGCAACCTTGAGACTGCCTGGCGAATGTGTCGATGAGATTCCAGCGCATTTTCACATCATTCCTAAATTCTGTCATGAGAGTTTCTGGTTGACGCCATGGCTAAATACAGTTATTTCTGAATTCCTGTCACTCTGCCGTCCATGGATCTTAAAGCAAAGAGGTGTCCTCATTCCACCGCTGGTTGAGCTCGGTAGCTTCAGGAACATGCAAAGCTGGAAAGTGGAAATTCTCCAAATAAAATACCCCAAGTGCTTATTCTGAGACCCTGTTTTCAGTGTGAGTCCCTCAGTGTCAGCATTGGGCATCTAGGAGAGGTGACAGCCCACCAGGAAGTTAGGCATCTACAGGTGAAGACCAGACACTCAGCCCTCACCTCTCTCCACCCAGCTCTGCAAGGGGGCTGTCTCCTTACCTATTACCTCA